AGAGTTTTGGCAACACGTTAAATTTTGCATCATGTTCAAGAGTCTCACTCACCTCAGACTAATTCCATCCCTAGGGTACATGTAGGTACCTAACAGGTAACAATGGCAGGGCTGCAACCTGAGGGCTTGGGGCTTCATTCTCTAGATGAGGGGTGGGCAAACTACAGCCCTTGGGTCAAAACCCACACACTGCCTGCCTTTGTAAATAAAGTTTTATTGCAACACAGCTAAACTCATCATTTACACATGGTCTATGGAGACATCCATGCTACAACAGCAGAGTTGAGTAGCTGCAGCAGAGAGTATATAGTGCACAGAACCAAACACATTTGCCATCTGGCCCATAAAGAAAAGGTTTCCTGGCCTCTGTTCTAGCAGAGTTGGGGGTGGGGAAGCAGCTGTGCAAATGAAGGGGGACAGGATAGTGATGGCTTTTGGACAATCCCTCCAGACAGGGAAGGGGAGGTGAGAGGCAGGGAGGTGAGAGGATCCAAGAAGAGAACCTGAGAACTCAGCAATGAGAGGGGTCAGGATGGAGGGTGGGGACCAATGCTGGCTGTTCTCAGGAGTAAAATGGGCAAGACATGGTGAAGTTTTGGCCATAGGAGAAGAAAGCAAGTACATACAGAAGGCAACACTTCTGGTGCGTCTGGCCATGGAGGAAGCAGAAGGGAGGGGCTTCTGTGCTACTGGCACCATGGGGAATACCGCAGGGGGAAGCAGCTTTTAGGTAGAGGGGGGAGATGAGGAGGCAACTTTGGCCATGCCCAGCTGAGCAATCCTGGAGGCCATCCTGAGGGAGGTGTCCAGGCAGAAAGCTGGATGTGGAGACGCCCATGTCACTTACCCGAGAGCCTGGGACCCTGACACCGTCTGCCTCCTGCACATCCGGGTCCCTCACGCACGCTGTTGTTCTTGCCGCCTTCCTCCTGTGGGACCTCATGCTGAGAGGACAGACCAGAGAGCCTCAGTCTGGGCAGATGAGGGCACAGTGGGCAGGGTGACCCACTTCGTTTCCTAGTAAGGGGCTGGAGGGGTGACCTGGTGGGACAGAGGTTACCAGTCCCACAGATGCCAATACTGAGAACACACCCACCTCCCCTACTGGATAGGGGGTCCCAGGTTTAAAATAGACCAGAAATCCCCAAAACAAGGGAGCTCCTGAAATTGTCATTGTGCACCCTTGACCTCCTTCTTGCCCTTCTTTCAAGCTTATGACCCTCCCGGTCCCTCCAGCTCTGACAGCAGGGACTCTGTACGCCACCACCCTCCCCCCAGGGTCAATGCTTACATGATGAAGATGACGCACAAGGACAGGAAGACCAGGGCTGTGGCTCCAGCTCCCCAGACAGCCCCCAGCGTCACCCCTGAGACAGGCTGCACTTTGCCTGCAGATGCATGAGAGCAACTCTGGTGACTCACCTGCAAGGGCTGGGTCTCTCCTCCTCCCAGCCTGTAGGGCCCTGGGCTCCTACTCCCCTTCCCCATCTCAGAGGCAAAGAACCTGGATGGTAGGGAGGAGGGGGGAGGCTGCTGGTGGGACCAGGGACACATGGAAGTGCTGCTGCAGCCTTTCTTTATTTAGGATTTTGAAATTTTGTTCATCATTGATTTCTTTGTGTTCAATTTTATTGTTTTAATAAGATCATTGCGTAACAATATTACTTCCCTTGATTGATGACTAGTTTGTCCTTATGTCTTCTTAAATTTTGTACCCAAGTTGAGTTCCTGATGTGTCTCACCCTAGTCCCAGCCCTGCAGAGCAAGGACCTTGTCTCCCCAAACACCCCTGTCCAGCCCCGGCCCATCCCCTCCAAGGTCCACCTCTGCCCCTCCTCCCACCCCAGGCCCCTGGCCAGGCAGGAAGAGGACAGTGACGCTCAGGGTCACAGGAAAGTTCCAGGCCTCACAGCTGAGCCTCCCTTTGTAGCTCAGAGGGCTGCTGGGCAGACCTTGAGGGTGGGGCAGGTGTGCTCTTCTTTATTTCTCCCCCACCCACCTGTGTACTCACTCTGCAGGGAGAGGCTCAGGGAGACGTGCTGGGAGCCCAGAGGGTTCTGAGCTCGGCAGGTGAATTCTCCTTCATCCCTGAGGTGCACTCGAGGCAGCTCCAGCAAAAGAGGTCCCGAGGGCTGCGAGGGGTACAGGGTCAGGCTTTCCCGGGTCCAGCTCAGCCTGGCAGGGGGGTTGCTGCTGACAGCACAGAGCAGGCGCAGGGACTGGCCCTCTAGGACTGACACAGATGAGCCGTTCTCCAGGACAGTGGGTGCTGTAGAGAAAGAGACAGAGGATCAGAGAGACAGAGAGATCTGCAGACAGGAAGGAAGGACACAGAATGACACTGATGAGTGAACAGACAACAGACAGGGACTGCAGTGGAGAAAACACACACTGTCACCCCTCCCTGTTGAGAATGTAACTTGCACTCCGTTTTTACAGAAACAATTGACCATATTTCCCAAAATTAAGGAAATTGTAGGACCCATTTATTGTTTTAGAAATTTATCCCACAAACATACACACAGGTGTGAAAGGAGATAGAAGATATTCCTTGCAGTGTGTCTGTTGGTAGGATAACATAATTCCATGACTTTCCAGTAACGTAAGAAGTATCTAGAATCAGGGTCCACCCATGCAGTGGGACACCACACAGCCCCAGAGGAGCATGGGGACAGTCTGCAAGACTGACGTCAAACCACCTCTGAGGTCGTACAGGTGAACAGACCAAGGCTCAGAGCAGCCTGTGGGGACCCTGGTGGGTTCTGGGGAGGGGACAGGCCTCTGAGGACTCACCCTGCTGTGCATTTGGAATTGTCGCCCATGTGACCGTATCACCCACCCAGAATTAGGTAAACACTTGGGGAAAAAAACAGACGAGGCTGAAGTAGTGTTCAGGAGACGAATGACAAGGGGCTTGGAGGCCAGTTGTGCTGTTTGACTGTCACCCTGTCCTTTTTGTGGGCCGTGGGGGTGAGAAGGTGTCTTAGGGGACGAAGGGGCCCTGGGTCACCAGAAGGGAGGTCTCAGGTGACCAGGTGAGTCCAGGATGAGAAGGACACAGCTTCCCGGACAGAAGAGGCCCTGTCCCGCAGCCCAGGGAGGGCCCGTCCTACCTGAGCCGTTTCCATGGAAGACAGTCACGGTCAGGTTCTGAGGAGAGTCTGGGGCAGACACAGATGGCAGGTCGAAGTCACTGCTGAGGCTGGGTGGACGCTGCCTCTGTCCCCAGGAGCCACATGAGAGGGCATGGGGGAGCCAGCGTCTTCCTAACCTTCCCCAATAGGACCCAGGTCCCAGAAAACCGTGTGCAGCCCTGACCCCATCCCGCTGCCCTGGGGACCCCCAGCAGGACCCCAAATTTCCCAGCCCAAATCTCACAGGACACATTTAGGTGGAGGGTCCTCCTTCTGGTCACACTGGCCCCAGGCAACGTAACCTGGCAGGTGAGGCTGGTGCCGTGGTCCTGGGGCTGAGGGATGAGGGTGAGCACTGAGGAGTGGCCGGTGGTGGGGCCCTGGGGAGCCACGGAAGCCCCCTCCCAGGAGATCCTGGGCGGCGTCCCCTGCTCACAGGCCCAGGGCACAGAGCAGGTCAGGGTGCTGGGGCGGCCGCACTCCAGGGTCCCTGGGAGGAGGATGTCGGGCTTGTGGGTCAGGGCTGGGGAGGAGAGGGACACACAGGGTCAGGAGGGAGGGTAGAGGTGCGGCCCTGACAGGACTCAGGCTCTGGTCCAGCTCCTGCCCTGAGCCCCACACGCTTCACCCCCAGCCCCTCCCAGCACGGGGTTCCAGCCCAGCCCTGCCCTGCGGCCCCCACCACCTCCACCTCTGGACACCCCTGGAGCCGGAGCTTTACCTGTCACATGCACAACCAACTTGTTTTGTTCATAGTTCCATTTCATCCATCCTCGCTCCACCCGAAAAAAGTATGACCCCTCGACCCTCCTTGTGGCGTCTCTGATGCTCAGGGAGCAGTCGTTCCTCCTGCGATCCCCTAATAGGTGGAATTGGCCCTGGGTCTCCTCCTGCACTTTCCTAGCTGGGTCGTTTGTGGCCACTGGAGCATCCCTCTCCACACTGGCCCCTTCCCGGAACCAGTAGCCATGAACAGGGTCAGAGTTCTTCCAGCCGTGCAGAGGATAGGAGAAGGAGCAGGGCACACGGACACACAGGCCCTCCTGCACCGTCACCACACTCTGCACTTGCAGCCTGTAACCTCCCCTGTGCCCTCCCTGTCCCTCAACCCCCGCCATCCCCCAAAGCAGGGCCGGCAGCAGTAGCATGTCCGGGCGCAGGTGCCAGGGCCACCAGGGACAGTCTGCTCCTCGGGGTTCTTCTCTCGGAACTGAGAGCTGCAGGACTTAGAGGAGGCCCCACAGGAAGACGGGGGCGAGGTCAGAACCGTGACCCTCCTCAGAGGAGGAACGTCACAGCCTGACACTATCAGGGCAAGGAGAGGACTTAGAGATCTATTGTCACCACCCACGTCCACTCCTGAGGACCCTATGCCCAGACAGGATGACAGTCACGAAGGTTCCCACCCCATGCAGTCCCCAAACACATCCCCTGCCTCCCTGTCAAAGTCCTTCCCCTCAGGGGACATTTTCAGGAAGATGATAATGGGACCCATCTGGCTGGACAACAAGTCACAGGTTGGGGATGTTCGTGGGGTCAGGGGTGGGGCTGAGGGACATGGCCATGGTGGGGGCCCAGGCGGGGTGGGCAGCAGCCTCCTCCCCTCCTGCAGCCACGTGTGGCCGTCCCCTCTCTGCACATGGGGGTCAGCACAGCAGACCCGGGCGCTGTCCTCATGGAGTCACCGTCCAGCTGGGGAAACATGAGGTCTCCCGGCACCTGGAGCCCCTCACGACAGCAGCTGGGACTCTGTGAATATGGGTGTTTTGTGTGTTTTATAACTTCATGAATAAATACACACTAACCTAGAATTTTTATCTTATTCTGATGTTTAAAGCTTTGATCTTTATAAAGTTCTCTTTCTTCATCTGTGCTAAAGCACTTTGCCTTGCGACTCATTCATCTGATATTAGGAAAGTGCCACCAACTGCCTTTTGTTTACTGCTTGCATAGTGCCATCATTTGTCAACTTAAATTTTAAACTTTCTGAATCCTTAGGTGATATTTCTGTTTCCTGTAGTACCAGGAGGCCACCTTCCCTTCACTTACTGTGTCATTCATTCCTCCAGACACACAGGGCCCTGTCCTCAGTCGGGGAAGAGAGAAGGAGGCGAGTGTGACAGACCCAGTATTGCCCTCACTGTCTCACAGGGATCCCAGGCTCTGCTGGGAAACAGCTCCTGCCCCTGGATGAGGAGAACTTGTCCCTGCTGGGAGGTGGGGGCTGTGGAGGAAGTGGTGGTCCTGGGAGATGGGACAGAGGATTCAGGGAGTCTCCTTAAATGGATTGAGTGGAGATTTTCACAATGTTAGCACATTCTAGTTCTTTGATGTTCCATGTACATATTAGAATCAACGTGCCAATTTCTATACAAGCTCTTCTGGAAAATTTCTTTGAATTACTTTGAATGCATGGATCAATTTGGATAAAACTGGGATCTTAAGAATATTGTCTTCCCCTCCTTGAACATTGCATGTGTGTGTGTTTGTGTGTGTGTGTATAAACATGTATGTATTTAGGACATATGTATTATGTAGATCTCCTTTTATTTGTCTCAGCAATGTTTTGTATTTTTCAAATAAAGTTTTTACATGTATTTTTTAAAATTTATTTCATGTATATAATGTTATACTAAAGTGTACTTTTAAAAAATAGTTTATTTTTAATTGTCCTTGGCTAACATGTAGATATCCAATAGAATTTTCTAGTTTGAACCAATATGCTGCCACCTCCATCAGTCATTTATTGGTTTAGTAGCTTCTTTGTGGATAACTGTGGATTTTGTCTGTACTCAATCATGTTGTCTGTGAATAAAAACAGGTTGACCTCCTCCTCTAAGATCTGAATAGCTCTACTTTCTTTTCCTGTTTTTATTGCACTGGGAAGAGGCTGCAATATGTTTCCTAGAAGTGGCGACAGCAGCCACTCTGCCTTGTTTCCAATCCTAGGGGAGAAAGGTCAGTTCTCCGTCAGTTCTCAGTCTGTCAGATTGTTGGCGGCTGATTCTGGCGTTATGCCTTATACTAATCGTTCCCTATAGCCTGTAATGTACGGGTGCTGCATGACGTAACGATAGTCAGCATTTTCTTCAGACACGGTTGCTGCCTCGTGACATGATAAGAGGCCTGAGTTTCTGCATGTAAGCAAATGCTGCCCGGCTCCCACACGGAGGGCCCCTGTGGTAGGAGTCTGGAGGCCGATTTAATAAAGAAAACACTCCCAAAACCTGGCCCCCGTTTGAAGGTTAATAATCAATGACAGATAAGACTGCTCAGAGAAAAAGTGACTTAAGACACACACAACCATAGGGGTCAGCCACTGGCTGAGAGAGCCGCTGGCTAAAAAAAAAGCACACAAAGTCCTTCTGATGGCTGCATTATTTAACATTGCTTTTCTCGGCCTTGGCTTTTAAGTCATGTCTGGCACTAGCGCCTCAAGTAACCGTTTCGAGGTCTGAGACCATACAAAATTATTACCTGATGAAACAGCTCCAAAATTAACAGTTATCGCTACTATGCCAAAATGCTCACATACAAAAAAAACTTAAATCTAAAAAATATAAAAATAAAGCGACCAATATATTAGACATTCAAGTCATTTCATGCCCATATGTGTCTGTGTTATTATTTTTATGTTCTATGTCCATCTTCTGTCCTATAATCAGGCCACAACACAGATCAAAGTGGGATATTGCAGATCTCATCCTTGGAAAGTACGTGTTCTCTGCTATTTCCAGATTACTGAGAATTTTAATCACAAATTGGTATTAAAGTTTATCAGATGATTTTGCATGTGGTTTTCCTACTTTGCTCCTTTAAAGGAATAAAATACATTATTTGTTTTTTAAATATTTTAATTGTGGAAAAAACACATAACATAGAATATGCATCTTAACTATTTTTAAGCACAGAGTTCAGTGGTAATAAGTATATTCACAATGTTGTGCAACACATCTCCAGAGCTTTCTTGTCTTGCAAAACCAAAACTCCACCCCATTATCTACAGTTCCCTAAGTCTTCCCATCCCCTACTTTCTGGTAACCACTGCTCTACTTCTGTTTCTACTTCCACTCAAGGAAGTGGAATCACAGAGTTCTGGTTTTTTTGGTGACTGAGAATTTCACTTAGCACAGTGTCCTCAAGGTCCTTCCATTTGGTGGCATGTGTCAGAAAGTCCTTTCTAAAAGGAAGAATAGTATTTTGTATTCAGTTAGACATGCTTTTGTGTATCCATGCATCTGTCACTGGAAACTTGGGTCACTTCCACTTCTTGGCTATTGTGAATAATTCTGCCATGGACATGGGTTTGCCAGCATGTGATCAAGTCCCTGCTTCCAGTCATTTTCATATATATGCACAAGGGCACTTGCTGATTTAGACTAATGCTGCTTGTGATTTATGAGGAATTACTTACTCATGTCACCCCTTTCATTCCCTCGTCAGTTGCCGTGTTATGCCCACAACACTCCACCTGGAGTCTCCTACTGAGCTGCCAACACACGTGTCTAGCTGTGTCCCTGATGTCCCCACTCTGACGCCAGGTGGACTGTCAGGACTGACCCTGCCCTGCAAAGCCCTCCCTCCGCAGCCCCTGTGGACACAGCTCCCTTCCAGGAGCTCAGAGTATGACTCTGGATCATCCGTGTTTTCTAGTCCCCTGATGACCACGCCCATCAGAAACCTTGTGAGCGTGACCAACCACACGTCCCACATCACGTGCTCACCCCGGCCCTGCCCCCCTGCTGCAGCCACCGTCCCTCCCCCTGATGGCGCCTTCCCAGTCTCCCTGACCAGGGCAGCCAAGGTCCTGTCACGGTGCAAGTGCAGTCCTGTCTCTGCTGTCCCCAAAGACTCTGGGTTCCTGGGTGTCAGCACCGTTCTCCCCCTGCTCCTCCTCCTGTCGCCTCTGCTATCACACACAGGACCCAGAGAGTCCCCAGCACCCAGCCTGACGCTGCCTCTGAGCACTGCGCTCACTGTTCTCTCTTCCCTCCTCCTGGGACGCTTTTCCTGACTCACACGCACAGCCTGACTTCTCACCGCCCTCACCCTGTGCCCAGACACCACCTCCTCACACGTCACACGGAAACTGTCCCCAGTGTGTCGTACTCTCCTTTCTCTGAGTTATTTTCTCTCTAACCCAGGTAGCCACTCAGCATGGCCTCACATTCTTTATTCATTTTCACCCTTTTCCATCCAGTCTGCAGAGCAACAGCTCCCGATGACGGACCTGAGGATGCATGTGCGGACGCGCCCTGCATGCACAGTAGGGCTGGGACGGCGCAGGGGACACCAGCAGCCACCAAGGACGTCTGTTAGTGAATGGAGTGACCCACCCTCCAGTTTGTATCACATGAGATTCATGCACGCACGCACACACACACACACAC